AATTAGCACAATTCAGCATTTAGTAAGCTCTCGGAAAAAGCTACCCAAAAAGCACCTTGCTGGGGTCCCCTTAGTGTTTGGACATTTGAACCTCTCCTACGAGCTTTCTGCTCAGTTCTCTGTTTGACCACTAGAGGTCAGGCTAACCCCAAAGTTCAAAGCACCCTAACTGTCCAGAGGCAAAAGCGGACTTGGCCTGTGCAAAGTGTACACATGCGCCTTCCCAAGTGTGCCTGTGTCCCCCGCAACCAGCGCTTGGATTTCATCCATAGGCTGCGCTTGGATTTCATCCCTAGGCTAAGAGGATGGAGACGGCCAAACGGGGCAAATGAGTTGAGTTACTTCTGAGAAATCATCAGGGTAAAAAGGAGACAAAAGAAAGAGAAAGCTGGAAGTCATAATAATTTCTGAGTCTTTAGGAAAAAAAAAAAAAGGATTTCCCTGGCGATCCAGTGGCTAAGACTCTGTGCTTCTACTTCAGGGGGCGCCGGTTGGATCCCTGCTCGGGGAAATAAGATCCCACATGCCGCGAGGTGCGGGTGCAGGGGTAATTTCTGAGTCTAACTATGTGTGGGGAACTTTTAAAAGAATTTTACACATATTAACTGATTTAATGCCTATAAAAGTCTATGGGGTGGGTATGGTTAGTTTCATTTTACGCATGTAAAGCTGGCATAGGGACATAAACGATTGAGATTGGCCTGAGCCCAGGATTTACTGCCATGAAGAGCCAGCTAACTTATTTCAGGCCTGGAGCTATGAACCACTAAAGGCTCTGAGCACTTTCCAGGTGCTGATTCTTCCCGTCTTTGGGCCAAATCTTTCAGGCGTGTTGGACCAGACAGGGCCCTTGATCGCTCTCCCCTTCTTTCCTGTCTGTGGCTTTTTGGGGATCACACGGACATAGGTTCCAATCCTGGCCCTGCTGCTTGCCAGCTATGTGGCCTGGGCAAGTAGGACCTCGCTGGGCCTCAGTTTCCCCCTCTGTCAAGTGTAGAACCTTCCTCACAGGTCACCCTCCAACCTCTCTGACTTCTCTTCTGTCTCTGCTGGAACGTGAGTTCCTGGAGGGAAGACTCCTTGTTTAGTACATTCTTTCTAACGCTTGGAACAGTGCCTGGCACATAGTAGGTGCTCAAGAAATACTTACTGATATTTGCTTGACTCTTCCCACTGGATGTCCCTTGAAGTGGAAGTATTCCCCCCTTTCTATATTCCCACTGAGACAGCATGACATCAGTAATTTCCTAATGACTGTTAAGCCATTCATTCATTCATTCGCAAACACGTGTGCTTCTCTCCTGACAAGTTCTGGGACTACAGAGAAGCATAAGTTGCCTACTCTTGAGAGCTTCAAGTTCAGGATAAGACAAGCTGGCGATTATGAGTCCAGGTCTCTGCAGTCCAATCCCCTGTTGGATCCACCATCCCTAGACATTTCCTGTGTACTTGACCCTCGCCCACTTAGAAGCAGAACTCATCACAGTTGTCTCTTTGGTTAAGGGAAGAGTAGCACTAGGGCTGGACAGTTTCAACAGGTGCCACCAAATGTCAAGAACCGGGAGCGTCTCTGAGGCTGCGCTGGAGAAAGGGCCGTGGGCAGGCTGGGTCCAGTCTGAGCTCTTCTCTGAATGGACAGGCAAGGAGGAGCCAGGCTTGCCAGTCCAAGTCACCTGCTAAGCCTCCTAAGATCCATTGCTAAGCAGCCAACCACACTCAGACATGTCGTGCACAGCCTTGGATCCTAAATGCAAATGGACGTATTATAACCCAGCCATACCTGCTTGGCTTCAGCTAATTCGGGGGAGTCTGGCTCATGGACAGATTTGATATCAGGGGGTAGATCAGATGGACCTGCAGCAATGATTGGGGCTCACGTGGACATCACTCCTCACGATAATCAATCAGCAACATGGCAGCTACTGCTGTCCTTACTGGACCCCGTTATGTGGCCTTTCAGCCCTGACGCTGTGCAGGACTCGCTCAGAGGTCACAGCGTACATTTCAGCTGTATTTTCTAGGCGTCATTATTCCAAGTCCTGATATAAATCAACCCCCACAGCAGCCTTGTGAGCTAGGTACTGTTATCAGCTCCATTTTACAGAAGAGGAAACTGATGAACACAGGTGGAAGCCACTGGTCGGAGGTCACGCAGCTGTAAGTGGCAGAGCTAGGATTTGAATGCAGGTGGTCCAGCTCTCCCTCCTGGCTGCTGTAAATAGACAAAGGCTGGGGTGGCTTTCCCTAGTCTGGAGTTTGGCTTTCTCTTTGGCTCTTGATCTTAAAAACTGAGAATATGCTTCCGTTCTCTGCTTTTACGGTGACAACTGTCTCCCTAAGGCAGTGGGTGAGTGACTCATGTTACGTTGTTTGGAGGATTGGGGTGGGGAAGGACGGCAGAGTAACAAGAGATGGACATATATCACATCTGCCTCTACGTATCCTGCTCCCCCTCTCCTCTGCCTTCACTTAATTCTACTTCCTGTCAGCCTCAAGTCCCCAGACTATCATTGCTTCAATGTGTATTCAGTGTAAAAAGTCATTACATTGTTTTTTTCATACTAAATCTTTGAATAAGCCGGTGTGTATTTTATACTTACAATCACAGTTCAGACTAGCCACGTTTCTTTTCTTTGCTTTTTTTTTTTTTGCCACACCGCATGGCTTGTGGGATCTTAGTTCCCCGACCAGGGATTGAACCCAAGACCTCAGCAGTGAGAGCACAGAGTCCTAACCACTCAACTGCCAGGAAATTCCCTCTTTTTTTTAAATTAATTTTTTTTAAATTGAAGTTTAATTGATTTACAATGTTGTGTTAATTTCTGCCATACAGCAAAGTTAGTTATACATATATATACATTCTTTTTAATATTCTTTTCCATTATGGTTTATCCCAGGGCGTTGAATATAGTTCCCTGCGCTATACAGTAGGACCTTGTTGTCCATCCATTCTGTATGTAATAGTGTGCATCTACTAACACCAGACTCCCAGTGCATCCCTTCCCCAGCTTCCCTTCCCCTTGGCAACCACAAGTCTGTTCTCTATGTCTGTGAGTCTGTTTCTGCAGACTAGCCATGTTTCAAATGTTCAATAGCCACAGGTACTCACTGGCTCCTGTATCAGGTGATGCAGTTCTAGACCCTGGATCTCTCTGTCCTGCAACTCCATCACTGATGTCAGCAGGTGGCTCTGAGTCCCAAGACAATGTTTATCTCCAGCTTACTCTCTCCTGGAAGAATGAGCTTGCTGTTAGTGGAGAATCTGCCCTTGGTTTGCAAACCGATTGCAAACCAATTGTGGGATATTTTCTAGAAGGCAAATGCTAAGCCCCAACCCAAGTTTGCTTGACTTACAGAGAGCAGGACAATAGTCATTCATTCAGCAACTACTTACTGAAGACTTCATAAGTTCAAGATCCTGCTCAAGGGCCTGGGCAATGGGAGCAAATTCTCTCTATGGAGAGAGGATTGGAGATCTGCAGAGGGTCCCCCTCAAATCTGCAGCTGAGTGCTGATAAGCGCATACGCGTGAGGTTCCCCAAAGCCAAGGAAAAACCACCAAGAAGAATCAGGCGGAGCTTACACATGTCAGGAATTATCTGTGTTCTCACTGTTGGGGCCCAGGGCAGGCCACCCCAAAATATGCCTCAATGGCATATTGACTTTTTGAATTAAATAAGAAACAGCTGATGCAAATGGGACACTTTGACCCTCCTCCGTGTCTCCCTGAAATCAGGAAATAAAGCCCTCTTGTGAAAGGTGCCCTCCCTGCATCTGGATGTAGAAGGACACCCTTACCTCCAGAGGTAGGGAATTATCAGGCCAGGAAGCCTGTATAGACAAAACCTTTTTTCTTCTTCAATTTACTATCCCAAGCCCCAACTCTGTTTAGATTCTTCACTAAGTTTCTTTGTTCTGTCAATTCCTCACAAATGTATTGTTCCTTTGTCTAAAAAGTATAAATGCTGCCTGCTTTGGCCACTTCCTAGGTCCCATTTCTATAGGGCCTCCATGTGCATGAATTAAAAATTTTTTTTTCCTATTAATCTGTCTTGTGTCCGTTTTATTATGTCCAGCCACAAGAACTCAAAAGGGATGGGGGGGAAATTTCCCCCTCCCTAACACCACCAACCAGAAAGGAAAGAACTCCTAACATGTGGGATATGGAGCAGAATCCTGAGAAAGATATTGCCTTGGTCGTGCCCAAATTAGCCCTAGACTAAGGCTGTTCGGGACCTGCCTAGCAATCTTAAAAGCAGGCCTCAAAAGGTTCAAATTATTTCCACTAACTTAACTACATCCTAAAACAAAACCTCCAAATATTTGAAAGAATACAAAATAAAAAACCTTCAGCACTCAACACTGTAACATTCACAACGTCTGACATCCAATAAAAAATTACCAGGCATACAAAGAAGCAGGAAACTATGAGTTACAATGAGGAGAAAAATCAATCAATAGGAACAGATCCAGAAATGTCAGAGATGATTTGTAGACAAGGACATTAAAACAGCTACTAGAAATGCATACCACATGCTCCAGAAGGGAGCGGAAAGCATGAGCATGTTAAGGAGAGACATGGGAAGTATTATAAAAGACCCAAATCAAACTTTAAGATCTCAGAATCTTGAGGAAACCCAAGCAAATCTTGGCTCCAACACTTGCTGTTTTTACCATGGGCACGTTAACACATCTGTCTCAGCCCAGGTTTCCGCATCTGCTGCGTACTAACTAACGTACCTCAAGCGTTTGTTCTGTACTAAGCGCTGTTCTAAGAGCTTTCCACGACAAAACTGCATAGCCGGGGGCTCCGGCTGGGGCGCCTGCCCGGGTCGCCCGCCCCGCCCCGCCCCGCCCCGCCCCACCTGCCCTGCGGCCGCCCCTCAGCCACCCCGGAGACGTGCCCCGCGTTTCTACGCACCCGCCGGGCGCAAGCGTGGGAGAGCCGCCAGCTCCGGCGCCGGACGCGCGTCCTTAGGAGGCATCCGCGGGGCGGGACCGAGCGGGCAGGCGCAGCCATGTTCTGGGCCCCCGACATGTCTGAGCGCTCGGACGATGCGGCGGGAAGCCGCTCCCGCTGGGCGGCCGTCAAAATCTGGGCAGGCGACGCGGGGGCTCCGCGGCCTCACTTGCAGGCCCGTCACGGCTGCTCTGCGCTGACCGCGGGGCGGGTCCCCGCGGGGCCACTTCCCAAAGTTCCAGCCCGATGGGGGTTTGCCTCAGCGCCGGCGTGCAGAGAGCCAAGACCAGCTCCGAGAGCTCAGGGGAGGGCTTCGCATCCGTTCAAGTGTGCAGCCCGAGAGGCTGGAACAATTAAAAGCCTCGCGTCCGTAGATGGAAGCTGAGGAACAGGCATTACCTTCAGCCGCAGGGTCTCGTTTGCCACTTGAACTTTTCACTTGCTCAGCACCTAACCCAGACCCCCAACGGGTCACTTTTGATGGACGATTGAGTTTAATAATCCTTGTCAAGCCAGACACAGCAGACGTTGAACCTAAATCGTCGCGCACCCAGATCCACTAGAGGGCAGGTCTACACCTGCTGAGTTCCAGCGCATCCTGCAAAGAACTCAGGAGACAGGAAAAGAAACGTCCTTCCTTATATGCTTAGAGGTATTTTTCTGCATCAACCTTTATACCTGTTGAAGATTTTGCCCCTAACCCCAGGTCTTGTAACATATCCCCATGTTCAACATCAAAATAAACAAACTGTTTTGTTTAGCTCAGGTTAAGTGGAAATAGTCCAGGATCAAAAATCCTGGGCAGGTTTCTAGATTGAAGAAACATTGAGATTTTATTCGGCAAGGTCACTTTTAAATTTCAGAAGTGAAACCATAAAAATCAAGATGAAACATTTCAAGTCTCGGCGTTACTATATATAGGACCACCTTTGGCTTGCATGCTTAATGATTTTTGTCTACTTAGTCGTGATATACAAAAGGCTATGATTGGTACAACAATGAATGTGCTATCTCTTGCTCAAAAAAAAAAAGAAACCAACTACATAGGTGCTGTTATTATTGTCTCCATTTTACAGGTGAGGAAATGAAGGATGAGGCACAGAAGGCTTGAGTAACTTGCTGAAGGTTCCATAGCTCAGAAGCCTGGTGGATCCAGGATTCAAACCAGAGTCCAGTCTCTTACCGTCTATACTCTTCTGCTGTTCTCAACTCTGTAAGATTAAAAGAATAATCATGTTTGCCTCGAAGCCTTAAAATGTTTTAAAATTATTTTTAATTCAGCTTTATTGAAGTATAATTGACAAGTAAAATTGTAAGATATTTAATTGTACGTCATGGTGATTTGATACACGTACACATTGGGAAAGGATTCCCTCATCTAGCTAATTAACTCATCCATCACTTCACATATTTATCTTTTTCTTTTTTCAGTGAGAACATTTAAGTTCTAAGTTTTCTAGATTCTACTCTCTTAGCAAATTTCAATTATAAAATACAGTGTTATCAACAATGATCACCATGGTTTTTTTTTTTCAAATTGAAGTATAGTTGATTTATAGTGTTGTGGTAATTTCTGCTGTACAGCAAAGTGATTCAGTTATACGTGTATATAAATTCTTTTTTATATTCTTCTCCGTTATGGCTTATCATAGGATATTGAATATAGTTCCCTGTGCTGTACAGTAGGACCTTGTTGTGTATCCATTCTATATATAATAGTTTACATCTGCTAACCCCAAACTCCCACTCCATCCCTTCCCCACACCCTCTCCCCCTTGGCAACCACAAGTCTGTTCTCTATGTCTGTGTACGGTCACCATGTTTTACATTAGATCCTCAGACCTCATTCATTGCATAGCTGAGAGTTCATAGGCTTTTTGTGATAGGTGAACCAGACAATCCATGGGAATGTGTTAGCACACTCCCATGGATCGTCAGAGTGTTTGTTCAAAGTGAAAAATGAACAAAAACTTCAAGAGGGTTCAGAATCCCTGGTGAGGGGAGAGATAAGACCTGTAAGGTCTCAAATGAACACTAACACCCACTATTTACCAACTGTGGGATGGAAGGTTCAGGAGGCCACAGCCTGCTCTGGGCTGTTGTGTAGAACCGTTGCTTCCCTGGGATCCCTTAGAGACCATCTCACATCCCCATGTGCCTTTCCCTGGAAAGGAGCAAGTGATGAAGAGTTGCAGCTTCCTCTTCCTTTCTGCTTTGCATGGAGCATGCCAGCTCTGCCCAGAGAAGCAGCTCAGGGAAGGCTCTTTAGTGTCCTTTGCTCTTTTTTGAGTCTCCAAAACAGCACACTTTTTTTGTTTAACGATATGGCCAAATCTCAAAAAGAAGCACACATAGACATATTGAGCAAGTGATCCAGGGTAATCTGCTTCTAAAGTGTCCTTTGATGAGGGGGGAAGGATAAATTGGGAGTTTGGTATTCACATATACACACTACTATATTTAAAATAGATAACCAACAAGGACCTATTGTATAGCACAGGAAACTCTACTAAATATTCTGTAATAACCTAAATGGGAAAATAATTTGAAAAAGAATAGATATATGTATTGATATATGTATAACTGAATCACTGTGCTGTATACCTGAAACTAACACAACATTGTAAATCAACTATACTCCAATATAAAATAAAAATTTTTTTTAAAGTGTTCTTTGATGCATTTTGAAACACAATTTGATTTAATTTGTTCTGGATTAGGTCGACGGAACCTCAGTTTGAGCTCTGGTCAACTCTGCTTTTTCCTGTCCAGACCTATCCTTGGGACCAAATAATAGAGAAGAACACATCTCCAGTTCACTGTAGACATCACTGAACAGGTTGGAACTATTTTCTTTTATGAAACTATTTGTTTGCATAGATACTTCTGTAAATTTTTTCAAAATCAGGTTAGTATGAATGATACATTTATTCCTTAAAAGTTCCATTTATTATTTCTTATTACAAAAATAATGCATGATCCCCAGAGAATATTTAGAAAATGTAGGTAAATAAAAAGAAGGAAACAAAAATTACCAGTAAAGCTGCCAGCACACTTTAAATTTTGATGTATAGTTTCCCAGCGTTTAAAAAATGTCTAGGGACTTTGCTGGTGGCGCAGTGGTTAAGAATCCGCCTGCCAATGCAGGGGACATGGGTTTGAGCCCTGGTCCGGGAAGATTCCACATGCCACGGAGCAACTAAGCCCGTGCGTCACAACTACTGAGCCTGCGTGCTGCAACTACTGAAGCCCACGTGCCTAGAGCCCGTGCTCTGCGACAAGAGAAGACACTGCAGTGAGAAGCCTGCGCACTGCAAAGAAGAGTAGCCCCTGCTCACCGCAACTAGAGAAAGCCCGCGCGCCGCAACAAAGACCCAGTGCAGCCAAAAATAAATAAAAATCAATCAATTAATTAAAAAAATAATGTCCATCTGATGAAAATGGGGTCACACTTCTAAAAATTGATGTATCGTGGCTGTCTTGCTCAGCCATTGCTTGTTCTTCTGTAACATAAATTTTTGTGTGGCTCCATAATAAATATACAGTAGGTTACATTTAATGCAAATTTGAACTACACAGTTAGAAATAGTAGGATATAAAATATTAATTAAAATTTGCTTTATGTGCAAAATTTGAAAGAATGTAAATCTTAGAATGAAAGAATGTAAATGCTTTACATTTATTTTTGGTAGGGAATTTAATCTGGCATAATGTGAGTTTTGCACTCTGCAGTATCTCCAGCAAAACAATCCCTTGCATAAAATGTGACTGTCCTCTACTTCTGTTTATTTAGCCAGCCCCCTGTTGATGGTCACTTATTATTTCAATGAGCTTTCTTGAAGATAACTCTTTGCACACACCCATGATGATCTCTTTGGGAAAAATTCTTAGACGTGGAATTGGTGGGTCAAAGCTTTTGATGCACATTTTCAAAATCTCATCCTTAAAGGTGGTGTCGACATTTTTTCAACAGATATCTACGTAGTGCTTACTACGTGCCAGGCACTATTCTGTGAACATCCTCATGATGATGATATGCAGCAGGTACTATTATTATCATCCCCATTTTACAGATGATGAAGCTGAGTCAGCAGCAGTTGCCCAGGTCACTGAGCTAGTAAGTGCTAGGGCTGGTTTTGGAGTCCTAGCTCCTAACCACTGTGCCATGCATGCTGCTTCTCCAGCATTTTGAGCAGTATAATATCAGGTGGTCATTTTCCTGTACCCTTGCCCACAATGGGCAATATCTATCTGCTCAAAGGGATTGTGAATATTCAGAAATACTATTTATGCTGGAAATCAATCCACCTGTTAGGGAACCGTTGACTGAAATCACCTGCCTTGGCCAGGCACGATGATAACCACTTGCCTGAGTTGTCTCACAACAGGAGGTCTCGATAAGGAACACGGTGCTGCCACCGAAAACTAAGCGGGAGAATTCAGGAGGGGCCAAAGGAGGGAGGAGACACCAGCCCAGATGTCTTCCCACTTCCCAGAATCCTTTGCACTGGAATCCATCGTGGCTGAGAGGTGATGCTTGCACCACCAGGAAGGACCCTGAGTCAGACTATGGGCCAAGCAAGATGATTGGCTAGAGACAACCTGGAAACTAGCCCCATTACCATAAAGCCTGAGACTACAAGGCACGTGGCAGAGCAGTTCTCCTGGGTTCCCTTACCCTGCTGCTCTCTGCCTGGGTGCGCCTTCCCAATACAGTCTTTTGCTCTGTCAGCATGTGTGTCTCCTCGGACAATTCATTACTGAGCGTTAGACAAGAACCCACTCTTGGGCCCTGGAAGGGGTCCCCCTTCCTGCAATATGCCCAAAGGTATTTCTGAACACTGGTACTATGAGAGAGAGAAAGGAAGCTCTAGTCCTTAGCTATCAGTGAATTGCTAGCCTGTTTGATTTCTTTTTTAAGAAATCCCATCAAAGTATTTTCAGAAGCTTCCCCCAGGCAGAAGAGACATCTCATCTTTGGTCTTCACTTAACAGGTGTTTCTGGGGTCCACCTGTTCTCCCCAAGGCTCTGCTCACAGCACCAGGATTTTAGGAACCTCTCCTAAGCTATGTGGCCCTCTTCCTCTGCTCTCTGCAACAGATGCTGGTTCCATGCTTTAAGGACTCTGCAGCCTGCTCTAGTCCCTGATCCAGTGCTCACTGCAGTGAGCATTCAGGCTGAAAGACTAACAAAGAGGCATGAAACTCTGTACCTTTTCATTGGCGGTAAAGAGCTGACTTTATTTACCCTACCTGAGCTCACCTGTGGGATGACTAGACCCTTGTCTTAGGGTACACACACTAAGCTGCTATAACAAAAATATCCAACAATACATGGCTTGAAGGCTAAAGCAGTTTATTCTCTCTTATGTAACAGTTCTGAGGTGAGCACTTTCCATTGCTGGGGTGGTTCTAACCTGCATGGTCTGTCAGGGACCCAGGTTCCTTCCATCGTGTCACTTTGCCTTATAGGCTAAGTCATAAACTTCATCTGCATGGTCAAGGGGAAAGGGAAAGAACACAGAGGAGCCACGCCCACTGTTTAAGTACTAGGTGCAGGGCACTTCCACTTGAATTCCATTGGCAGGAACGGAATCACGTGACCACTTTCCAGCAAGGGAGGCTGGGAAGTGTAGTTTGGCCACATATCTGAAAAGAAGGAGAGAATGGATTTGTGGGCAAGCTAATGGCTTCCAGTAGACTCTCCAAGCAGGAGACAAACCCAGCTGGGCATCTGTCTGCACATAGTGAGATTTTCATGATACTTCTCTTTCTTGACCCTTTTCCTGTATCATAGCAGAGGGGGAATTTGAGAATAAGATATATAGTGGGAATGCCCTGGCGGTCCAGTGGTTAGGACTCCACGCTTTCACTGCTGAGGGCCTGCATTCAATCCCTGGTGGGGGAACTAAGATCCCTCAAGTCGTGCAGTGAGGCAAAAGAAAAAAAAGAATAAGCTATATAAGCATGTGAAATTATTTAGTCTGAGTTCACCAACCTCATGGGCTCTGGAAACTTACTCTTAAAAGCATGAGTTCAGGGACTTCCCTGGTGGCGCATTGGTTAAGAAGCTGCCTGCCAATGCAGGGGACACAGGTTCGAGCCCTGATCTGGGAAGATCCCACATGCCGTGGAGCAACTAAGCCTGTGTGCTACAACTACTGAGCCTGTGCTCTAGAGCCCGTGAGCCACAACTCCTGAGCCCACGTGCCACAACTACCGAAGCCCACGGTCCTAGAGCCTGAGCTCCTCAACAAGAGAAGCCATTGCAATGAGAAGCCTGCGCACCGCAATGAAGAGTAGCCCCTGCTCGCCGCAACTAGAGAAAGCCCGCGCGCAGCAACAAAGACCCAAGGCAGCCAAGATTTAATTAATTAATTAAAAAAAAATAAAGCATGAGTTCATCTTGCTGTTTGCTCTGACTCAAAAATTAGCTCATAGTTTAAAGTCAGAGCAGGGTATATGAACTTTGGAGACAAAAAATTCTGAATGAGAAGCCTGGCTCCACCTCTGACCTACTCCTGTGTGACTGTAGCCATGTTCCATAAACTCTCTTGAGTTTTCGTTTGCTGTGAGGATTATAGAGGCATGCAAAGAGAACCAGGTGCAAATCCTGGCTTCTGTGACACTAGGGAATTCTCTTAATTTATCTGAGCCCTGGGTTTCCTGGAGAAAAGGGGTAATACCCTATTTCTCACTGGGTTGGGTAAATGAAATATGTCCTGTGCGGGGAGGTCAGTATAGGCTCACAGTACTAAGAAGTTCCAGAAGTATTCTATTGATACATTCAGGCTCAATCAGTGCAAGTATCCTGATTCTGTCTTCCTCTTTATGTCAGCTTCATCGTTAGTCGGCCTCTGCATGTTGACAAGATGGCTGTGACATACTCAGAGGAAGAGCAAAAGCTGCTTCTCTCCTAGACACACACCTTCAAGTCTCATGGGCTCTGCTGGGTTATATGCCTGTCTGAACTGTGGTTTGGGGGATGAAATTAGCTGATTGGTTTAAATCCATGGGGTCCTGGAGCTAGGGATGAGGTCACCCCCCAAACAAGTTGATGGAAGCCATATAGTTCCTCTGAAGAGAAACCGGGCTGTAATTACTAGAAAGGCAGCCAAAACAACAGATGTCCACTACAGAGAATGTGTTTGAAGGATGAGTTAATTGGGCCTCATTATGGTCCAATTTTTATTTGTTTTTTGAATTATGAGCTGATTTCTTCTGCTGATAGATGAACTATTCATGGTCTCTGGCAGTTTTCCTTCATGACCCTCTTAGTTGCCTTCTAGAGTTTCCTTGTATTGCTTTGCCCACACCCATGAATGCTTTTCCCCCCATGGCGTCTTCAACTTCTTTCTGACCCCACAGGTTCATCAGACACCCCCAAACCAATGGATTGAAGAGGAACCCAGTTGGAATCCATATATATATATGTATATATATATTTTTTAATTAATTAGTTTATTTATTTTTGGCTGCATTGGGTCTTCGTCGCTGCACGTGGGCTTTCTCTAGTTGGAGCTAGCGGGGGCTACTCTTCGTTGCGGTGCACGGGCTTCTCATTGCGGTGGCTTCTCTTGTTGTGGAGCATGGGCTCTAGGCGTGCTGGCTTTGGTATTTGTGGCACATGGGCTCACTAGTTGTGGCACGCAGGCTCTAGAGCACAGGCTTAGTAGTTGTGGTGCACAGGCTTAGTTGCTCTGCGGCATGTGGGATCTTTCTGGACCAGGGATCGAACCCGTGTCCCCTGTACTGGCAGGCAGATTCTTTTTTTTTTTAATTTTAATATAAATTTATTTATTTCATTTATTTATTTTTGGCTGCATTGGGTCTTTGTTGCTGTGCACGGGCTTTCTCTAGTTGCGGTGAGTGGGGGCTGCTCTTCATTGAGGTGCGCGGGCTTCTCATTGCGGTGGCTTCTCTTGTTGCAGAGCACGGGCTCTAGGCACCCGGGCTTCAGTAGTTGTGTCATGCGGGCTTCGTAGTTGTGGCTGTCGGGCTCTAGAGCGCAGGCTCAGTAGTTGGGGCGCACGGGCTGAGTTGCTCCGCGGCATGTGGGGTCTTCCCAGACCAGGGCTCGAACCCGTGTCCCCTGCATTGGCAGGCGGATTCCTAACCACTGCACCACCAGGGAAGCCCAGAATCCATATATTTTTGAACTTGTCTTTGAAGGAACAATGAACTTTTTGTCTCCAAAGGCTGTGATATACATATGTATCATAGGTTTTTGGAGACAAAGATTTTACATATATATATATATAATTATATATATGTATATATACACATATATATGTTAATATGGATAAGTAAATTTTAAGGTCTCAGTTTCTCATTTGCAAAATTTTTTGCAATAGAAACAGGTTCTCTCTAAGTTCTTTTTAGTATGAGGGCCCTTGGGAGATGCAGTACTATAATATAACAAGGAGAATAATAGCCAAAATTAATTATGGAGTACTCCCTGCATGCTGCCCTAAACTCTAATGTATATGGTATTTTATCTCATCCGATCTTTACAACATCCATACGAGGTATGAATCTTTTAGAGATGAGAAAATTGGGGATTAAGGTGGTTACATGACTTGTTCAAGGGCACACAATAATTGTCCACTTGGAACTGGAATCCAGGTTGGTCAGATTCCAACTCTTAACCCTACTGTCACCGCAGCTTCCACTGGGGAGGAAAGGACTCAGATTTGGGAGTCAGAAGACTTGGACTTAAATTCTGAATTCAGCACTGTGTGACTTTGGGAAAGTTACTTAACCTCTCTGAGCTTTAGTAAGATGTAAGATGGAAACGATAATTACTACCTTATGGGTAAGGGGTTAGAATTAAGATTGTTGAATTAATAGATGTAAAATATTGGGTGCATAGTAGGTGCTCAATAAGGGACATCTATCATAATATCCCACTAAACTGAGCTAATTAATAGAATACATTGCTACCAGGCAGACAAGAACTGTGTGAATGAGTCCCTGGCTCCTGAGTCACTGCTCTAAATGCTCATCATAAATAAGTACGTTTGTGAAAGTGATTGTCTTTAACAAAACTTTGCCTGTTTCAAACTGAAACACATGCATTTGACATAAACAATTGGTAAGTGATGGAGCAGGGATAATATTTTTAAAACACACATAGCAACAAATGCTGTTTTGCAAGCAGAAGTGTTTTTCCTCTTTCAGTGATCTGAGTCATTTTTCCTCTTAAGGGGAACAGTTTTCGCTTATTAAGGTTCATTTATGAGATTCATGTTCCCAGGAAAGAGGAGGGATGAAAACCCCTGCTGGCACAAGGGAAGTCATAGGATAGGGGAGAAGGAGGATGTGATGCATGAGGAGTTCTGAACAGGTAGGGAGAGGTGGAGCAAATGCCTTCTTTCCAGTCTGGAGGGGTGGACCTAAAAGTAGCGGAAAAGAGAAAGGACATGGGGTTAGATAAGTGTGTTCCATCTCCCTCCCTCTGGATCAAGACTCCTGTGTGCAGGATGTGGATTAGAAACAGCTAGAAGGCACTTGGAGGAAATACTAGAGCAGTGGTGGTTGGGCCACAATCCCCACTTGGCACTCTGGGGTGAAAAGTCATAGGGAGCCCTGCACCACAGTGGGGAGGCTGTATTTATACCGTTGGGGGTTTGGTGTACCTATGCCATGAGGGCCTGTGCTGGTGTCTTGAGACTTTAGTCAATTCCCTGGCGCTTGGGAATACCCAGCCATCCCTTCCACCATCACCAATAAGGACAAAGAAAGCAAGTGAATTTTTTTTTTCCCCTTTGGCCATGCCGCAGATCATGCGGGATCTTAGTTCCCTGACCTGGGATCGAACCCACGCCCCCTGCAGTGGAAGCACGGAGTCTTAACCACTGGACCGCCAGGGGAGTCCCCCCACCACTTTTTTTTCTGGTAGTGAATTTGAACCTTAAATTGGATTAACGATTTATCCAAAAGAAATTGAGCCAACTTGAGAGAGCCTGTTCTGAACTAGAAGTGATCAAGTTACCTTAACTGGAAGTTAAGATTTTTCCACGTCTGCCATATCTCAAGAGCAAGATATTTATAGACAAATGAGAAAGCTTATGTTTTGCACACCAGGTTGTAGTGTACAGCACACACTGCTGGTTGCCCTGAGTTTAGGTGTCCTTCTTTCTGGACAGTCATTTGTTCCAGGAAAGTAGTTCTCTCCCCCACAACTCAGAAGCAAATACCGATTAGTCCAAACTGGTCACTGTGCCCCATTCCCTTGTCAGTGATTTGTTTCAGCATGGGCTTGTGCAACACCTCTGTCCATGAAATGTTGGGACATCTCCTGGGGGTCATCTGGGAAGATTTTCCTCATTGAAAAGGAGAGACACACAGGGGAGAAAGTCTCTGTTCTAATGTAGGTAATAACTGGAACTGTGGCAGGCAACTTGGGACCTGGAGAGGTGGCTAACTGAGGACTAACAGACACACTGTGATGGTAGGGTAGGAAGCTAGAAGGAAACTGGGTTCTTTTGGTTTTTTTTGGTCATGCCACATGGGCATGGATTGAACCCATGCCCCCTGCAGTGGAAGCACAGAGTCTTAACCACTGGACAGCCAGGGAAGTCCTGGAAACTGGGTTCTTGATGATGCTGTTGGACTCCTGAAATGACCACCCTACCTCCACATTTCTTGGTATGTGAGAGGAATTCCTTAAGTTAAAGCTATTTGAGGGCTTCCCTGGTGGTGCAGTGGTTAAGAATCTGCCTGCCAATGCAGGGAACACAAGTTTGAGCCCTGGTCCGCGAAGATCCCACATGCCACAGAACAACTAAGCCCGTGCACCACAAGTACTGAAACCCACACGCCTATACCTGTGCTGTGCAACAAGAGAAGCCACTGCAATGAGAAGCCCGCGCACCGCAACAAAGAGTAGCCTCGCTTGTGTCAACTAGAGAAAGTCTGCATGCAGCAATGAAGACCCAATGCAACCAAAAAAAAAAAAAAAAAAAAGCCATTCGAGATGAATATCTATTACTTGCAGCCAAAAGCATCCTAAATGAGGCAGAATGTGGATAAATTTTCGACCTTGCAACTCCTGCTTCTTAAATGTATCCATGTGATTGTAAATAAAAAGGAAAATGGTGTTAAGTCATTACCATTGAAAACTGCCTGGATTACTTCCTTCAGGCAAGCTTTATTCCCAGACTGTTGAAGCCTCTGGGTTTGACAGCAGGATCTACTACTTCACATGGTAACACCTACTCTTACTTGCCTTCAAAAACTTTCCTAAGGGAAGAGATGAAACCATACTTGTTAATTCTTCTTGAACATAAAAAAATGGATCCTTTTTGCCCTTTTAAAATGTATTATTAAAATTTAAAAAAATATGTTCTTCTAGAGTTGCCTGGAAAGTGAACTGGGAGCAGTTAAACATCAAGCTCATTGCCAATTTTCAGCTTTAACTGGAATCACCTTTGCCTTTTCCTATGGAAGAAAGAAAGTCTTAGAACATCAAAGTATTTCAAGAAGAACTGGATTTTAACTGCTGAGCTGACCAGAGACAGAAGGCTCACACCGATGGGAGCTGTATAATTTGGCTCTGTTTCTAACATTCAGAGTTCTCTCTGACTCTCCAAAATTTTATCTACTTTGGTTGAGCTTGTTTTTTCCCCAATCAAATGACATTTCTTGGAATTCATCATCACACATGCCTACTTACTTTGTGCAAATTATTTCAGGATAATTTACTAGCTGGGGAGAAAGAGGGAGGGCAGGAAGGATGGAAGGAAAGATAGAGGACTGGAGGGAGAGAGAAAGAGGGGGGGAACTAATCCTTTCAAGGACTGTTTCCATTACAAAATGTCCCTAATTTCATATTCAATGGACCTGCAATCCTCAAGCCATGTCTTCCTTTTTGGAAATGCTGTTATGTTTAAAGTAATTTCAAGAAGTGAGTTGAAGCCTGGGATAGACAGAAGATGTAAAATTGTCACTAGTTCAACACTGTTCCAATTTGAACAAGCTCAGATATTATTTGATTTATACTGGGGACTTTGAAAAGGGCTTATTGGAAAAAACATTTCCATTACAAAACAAATTTTAAAAACAACAGTGTTATATAAGTACAAACAAATGCATACAATTCAAATATTATGTCCTGACCTTTATTGTCATGTGGGTCTCTCATACAAAGTAGTAGATAAGAATCAAATTTAAATTAATAATATTGTAATAGTTGTTATTCAGTGTAGCATAAACCCCAAATATTTAGTGGCTTAATGCTCTAGACATTATGTATCGCTGATTCAATTCCTGCATTCCTAGTCAGTGGTAGTTCTTGTAATCATTCAGGGACCCAGTTGTATTAGTTATCTATTGCTGTGTAACAAATTACCCAATGAAAACATTTGTTATGTCACATAGTTTCACAGGGTCAGGAATTTGAAACTGCCTTAGATGAATGGTTACAGATAGAGTCTTTCATGAATACTGTATCTTGTATTCAAGATACTGGCCAGGGTTGCAGTCATCTGAAACCTTGACTGGGACTATAGGATCTGCTTCCAAGATGGTGCACTCACGTGACTGTCAAGTTGATGCTGGTTGTTGGTAAGAAGCCTTAGCTCCTTATCACATGGACCTCTCCACAGGGCTGCTTGAGTGTCCTTACAGCATGGCATTGGCTTCCCCCAGAGGAGTGATCCAAGATAAAGCAAGACAGAAACTACAATGTCTTTTATGATTTAATCTCAGAAGTCATCATTTCCATTAAATCCTATGGATTACATAACTCAGTCCTATTCAATTGAAGAGGTGATTATATGGGTACGAATACCTGGAGGTGAGGATCACTGGGAACCATATTGGAGGTTGGCTACCACACTAAGATCCTTCTCTCTTGTGGCTACCATCCCCTTGGGTTTTAGCACTTTTTGCTTCAAGGAAGAGGAAGAAGAAAGAGAACAAACGAGCCCCTCCCAAAAGTGGGAAGCTTTTATGGACCAGGAAAAGAAAAGGTGCACATGGCTTCCACTCACACTCCATGGCTAGAACTTGATTATTTGGTGCCTCTAACTATAACGGTGACTGGGAGATGTCCTACTTTGTTGGGAACAGCAACAACCTTTAACTATGGAATGGAGAGCGTGAACATTTGGTGGAGATATAATGGTCTCTGCCATAGGAAGGGTAAGAAGAAAATATAGGCAGAATGCTTAACATAATGGCATAGAGCAAATGCTCAATGAATGGTAATCATTATATAGAGTTCTTCTGACAATCTAGTGCCTACCCAAAACCTGGCATGTATGTGGGTAAAATAAATGTTTATTGTTTGAATGGATGAGTTAAGGTAATGGATGTACAATGGATGTACAAAATAGTACAAATGGTAGGGATTGTAATGATATTTCTGAGTTAGTAAGTTGGACTGGCTATCCTATTGAGGTACAGATCTTCCTCTGGAGATGGATATTACTGTCCCCATTTCAGCTGGTCAAATAGAGATAGCAAATACTTAAGGCTTTGTGGGCCATAGGGGCATTATTGCAACTACTCAACTCTGCTATTGTAGTGTGTGAGCAGCCATGGACAATTCCAATAAAACTTTATTTACAAAACAGGTGGTGGCCCAGATTTGGCCCAGGGGTCCTAGTCTTCTGAACCTTGCTCTACAGCATTGAGAAAGGGCATGACCACAAGAAACATCATGGATAAATCTTTAAAAAGTATTGAATGAAAGAAGACAGACAAACAGGAGTTCCCTGGTGGCCTAGTGGTTAGGATACAGCGCTTTCACTGCAGAGGACTGGGTTAGATCCCTGATCGGGAAACCAGCCTGCATGCCGCGTAGCCGAAATACAAAAAAAAAAAAAAAAAAAGACAGACGCAAAGGAATCTTCCATTTATATACAGTTCAAAAGCAGTAAAAATGAAACTATCTTGTTTAAGGGTACATACTGAGGTGGTGAAACTATAAAGCAAAATGAGGAATTTATTATTTAAAAAGCCAGGATGGTTGTTACCTCTGGAGAGTAGGGAGGGGTTGGAATCATCAGGAGGGGCATAGGAAAGATTTCTGGGAGTGCTGGCAATAATCACATTTCCTGACATGATAATCACATTTCCTGACATAGCTGTTCACTTTATCCAATTCGTTAAGTTGTATATTTGTGTTATATGTACAAAACGTGCATTCTATTTCTTGATACGTGTTGAAGAAAAATGAAGATTAAGAATCATGCACCAGGGCTTCCCTGGTGGCGCAGTGGTTAAAAATCTACCAGCCAATGCCGGGGACATGGGTTCGAGCCCTGGTCCAGGAAGATCCCACATGCTGCAGAGCAACTAAGCCCGGGAGCCACAACTACTGAGCCTGCGTTCTGGAGCCTGCGAGCCGCAACTACTGAAGCCCGCGTGCCTAGAGCCTGTGCTCCGAAACAAAGAGAAGCCACCGCAATGAGAAGCCCACGCACCGCATTGAAGAGTAGCCCCCGCTCGCTGCAACTAGAGAAAGGCCACATGCAGCAATGAAGACCCAACACAGCCAAAAATAAACTAAATAAATTATAATTAAAGAAGAAAAGAATCACGCACCATGCTGTTATTCTCCATAAACGAACTGAAATCCCTTTTCTTTGGTTAACAAATATTAACCTTTGTTTCTACATCATTTTTATTGGTCAGCTCATTGGTATTCAGCCCTGGCTGTGCATCAGAATCTCCAGGGGAGGGTTTCTTCCTCCCAAACACAGCTGCCTGGAGCCCATGCTCTTAAGATTTTTGATTCAGCAGATCCAAGCGGTAGTTTGCAGACACTCCCCAAGCGACAATGATAGGCAGCTGGGGTGGAGAGCCTCTGCTTTAAACTCTGCTATCTCATTGCAAGTTCTGCATAGTATTCCCCTTAGTCACACACTTCACCCCCAATATTCATCCAAGCTGACAAGCTGAGCATTTTATTTTTAATTGCATTTGCCTTGAAGTTAGTTTGCCTTTGAGTAAAAAAGACTGGTCCTATGTAAGGTGTTATCTCATCTGGCATTTATTCTAGCTTCCCATTCACCCCTTCCTAAACTCCAACACCTTGAAACAGCCTTTTTGATACATTCATTTCCTTATTTTAAGCCAAGGGCACATTCTTGGCTCCTTACAGCCAGTCCCACCACTCCTCCTTTCTCCCCAGTGCTGCAGTGGGTTTGCCACCCACCCCAGCGTAGATAAGTGCCTGTTTATCCCTCGCCTTTGTTTCTGGGCTCTAAGTCAGTTTCCTATCAAGAGGAAACATTCCTTCCATCCTCTGCTGACTCATCTTTATCAGCATTTACTGGAGAACCTTATCAATAGCCTTTTGAACAACTACATAAATTAAATTTATCTCTCTTATCCTCCCTTTTTATTTACCCTTCCAAACATCTCTAGCAATTGCAAAATATTCCAGATTGACTTCCTCTTGGAGAAAGCACTGCACTTCTTCCCTGTAGATTTAAAATAAATGTTTGATCATTTGTTCATTGGAAGGTAATCTCCACTTCTGTTAAAGCCAGGGTAACCATGAGTCCCTATTTGCCTTGGACAGTTCTGCCTTATGCCTGGTAATTGTTAATGGTGCCCCCTTTTACTTTAAAAAAAAAACAACCAGTCTGTTTGCCTGATGCATTCTATGATTACTTTATTAAAGTCTATGCAGTATACTTGAAAGATAACAAGAGGAAGAGTCAGGAGAACTGGATCCTTACCCCAAGAGGCACAAACTAGCTGTGTGGCTTTGATCATTATAAACCCTCACTCTCAAAGTGTGGTCCCCAGACCAGCAACATCAGCATCACCTGGGAGCTTGTGAGAAATGCAGAATTTCAGGCCCCAGCCCAGACCTACGGAACCAGCATTTGCATTTGAATAACACTCCCAGGTGATTTGGACGCACATTACAGCTTTTGAAGCACTGTCCTAAACCTCACCGGGCTTCAGTTTATTAGAAAAATAAAAATTGTCCAGCCTCTGCACAGAGTCAAAAATTATATCAATGCATTCAACTCACTGCATTTTAATAACAAACCCACAGGAACAACAGAGAAGTACATTAAAAACATGTACTTACATGCTGGATGACTTGCTTTTTTTAAAAAAAAGTAAATGAATGGACTCTAGAATCAAATTAAAGTGCTACAAGCATCATTTAATTGTCATCGGATAAGAATTGTACCTGGTTAAGGTGGCTCTCATTGGAGGAGAGTAATCTACATAACGGGGCAGACGTGGGCAGCTAATACTCCCAGGAGCTGGGCGTGATATTCACTGTTCAGGTAGATACTGTCTGGGTAGGGCACCAACAGCATCACATGCATATTTTACTAAATTTGATGCATTCTTCTCTGGTCTCTCTAATTAGTATTAGAAGTATTTACTAATTATTTTTTGATAATGGTAATGTTAAAAGTTCTGTATGAATGCTTTTCAGACATTTTCATGGATGTATCTCTAATGTCATAAGAGTGGGAATGGATACTGTGAAGCAGGCAAACTGCTCTCTAAACGTCTGGCATTTCCTTGAACTTACGTGTTATATCTCTAAAATTAAAATAAATGTCATCTACTACTAAAAAGATGAAAGAAAGAAAGGAAGAGAAAGAGTGAAAGAGAGAGAGAGAGAAAGAAAGAAAGGAAGGAAGGAAGGGAGGAAGGAAGGAAGGAAGGAAGGAAGGAAGGTACCAGTCTTAAAAATCCAAATGCTGGTATGGTCTAGAAAATACTTAACTGGTTTGTTTGTTTATTTATTTATTTATAA